GTGTGTCTGGCTTTCTTCCTTAATGTAGTATTTTTTAGATTCCCCATGCTAACAACATGTATCAATAATTTATTCTTTTAAATTGCTGAGTATTATTTAAATGTATGTGTATGTTTGGTTTATCCATTTACCAAGTGATGGATGTTTGGATTGTTTCCAGTTTGGGAGCTATGACTAATGCTGCTCTGAACATTCTCATGCATGTCTTTATGTGGACGTGTGTTTCAGTTCCCTTGAGTAAAGAGTCTTAGGAGTACTAAGTTTATGTTTAACCTTTAAGAAATAAACTGTCCAAAGTACCTGTACCATTTTACAAGTAGTTGCACCATTTTATATTCCAGTAATGTATGAGGGTTCTTATTTCTCCATATCCTTGCCACAGTGGCAATAGTCGTGTGTGTGTGTGTGTGTGTGTGTGTGTGTGTGTGTGTGTGTGTGTGTGTGTGTGTGATCTCAGCCTCCTGGGTTGCTAGGCCTTCTCCATTTTATATAAGGAATCTGAGCATTTGGTATTCCTGGGGGGGTGAATGTATACAGCTGCTTTAGTTATGGTGGGGCATAAAGACCATTGCTATCTTCCACATGTGACTTCTTTTTTTTGGGGGGGGGTCTGGTCGTGGGGCCTGAACTCTGGGCCTGGGTGCTGTCCCTCAGCTCTTCAGCTCAAGGCAAGCACTCCACCACTTGAGCCATAGCACCACTTCCGGCTTTTTTCTTTTTGCTTATGTGGTGCTGAGGAATTGAACCCAGGGCCTCAGGCATGCAAGGCAAGCGCTCTACCACTGAGCCACCTTCCCAACCCCCACATGTGACTTCTAAGATGGCCATGGATATAGACATCTGTTAGCACAGCAGGAAAGTATGTTGGATAGACATACAAGGAGGGTTTGTGGGTCTGTATGTGTCGTTTCTGCTCACACTCTACTGGCTGCAAAGTAAGTTGAGAAGCATATTCTAGCTGTGTTCTGGGGGAGGCAAGTTTTCACAGACATTCAGCCATACTGTCCTCATAGTCCCCACTTGGATCACTTTCTCCAGAACTATTTCCTAACTTAAAATGACTGAGCTGAGTTACCATCCCACCCGGAATGAGCCATCACACTTGATATCTAGTTCTTTTATAACCTTTAAGGCACAGTAAAATAATTTGGTTATGCATTTTCCTATGTTAGCCTGTTTATTACTTCCTATTGCTGTTGTAACAAATTTCCTAAAACCTGGTAGCCTAAAATAACACTATTGGCCTGATGCCAGTGGCTCATATCTGTAATCCTTGCTATTCAGGAGGCTGAGATCTGAGGACCATAGTTCAAAGCCAGCTGGGGCAGAAGGTCAGGAGACTTATCTCCAATCAACCACCAAAAAGCTAGAAGTAGAGGTGTGGCTCAAGTGTAGAGAACTAGCCTTGAGTAAAAAAAAAAAGCACAGGGCAGTACCCAGGCCCTGAGTTCAAGCCCCAGGACACACACACACACACACACACACACACAATGTAAATCCACATGGTGTAAATCCACATGGCAGGCAAACTGAGATTTCCCTGTGGTCTACATGAATGCAGAAACCCCGAACACTGTTCCTCCCCAGGTGCTTTTCAATGCTCTCGGTGTCTCTTTCCAGGCAGGCAGTGTGCCAGGCACACAGCTCTCATTGTTTCCCTTTTTGATACCTTCTCATTACTTTTAATTGCATCTGAGCCTCTCTGGCACCTTGTGTTTTGCTTTCTAATCCAGGGCATTTCTCTGCCTCCTACTGGTCCAGCACAGCACTTTCCACTCTCCAGAGAAGCGCCCCCAGCAAATGTAGCAGGTCTCTCATAATGCATTCCTTGCTATAATGAACAGTATAATATCGCAGGCCAGGCATATTTACATAGCAATCTGCACACAAAAGCAACATTACAAAGGGAAGAATTTTTTAAAAGAATATCATCTCAAAGCTCCATTTCCTATAGTGTGAAGAACACTATTGGAATTATCCTGACAGGAAGACAAAACAACTTCCAGGGATGCTGGGTTAGAGACAATAGCTTTGCCAGGCCCATTAATGTTTAAAGTCAATGGAGCATAAAACTGCTTTTCTCTACTTACAGCCAGGCATCCTCTTACAAAAAGGCGGGGGAAAAATTACCATTTTAACTCTACTGAAATCCATAAGCCCTCCCTTAGTTTTCATTCCCCTTGAAATTCTCCAGTAAGTACTATCAGAATGAAAATGAAACTTGCTCTCTGGGAGAATGGTTTCCAGTTCCGTCAGTAAAGTGGGTGAAGAGACTTCCTTGGAAATGGAGACAGCTGCCTGCTGGGAAAAGTGCCTTCGCACAAACCTGCAGAACTGGTTGAGGTGAGACACCTGGAGGCTTGGAAGCCCATGGGCTACCTTCCAGACAATCCCTGGTTGGGGTAGACAGGAAGCAGAATTGTAGGGAACAGCCAGCCCATGGAAGTAGTTCCCTTAGGATGTTTTTTGCCTAGTGGGCTGCAGGGGGACCTTTACCATTAATATTTCCAGAGGTAAGGGGGACATGCTGGAAAGGAGCCAGCTCTGTCAGTAAACCACTGGACTTAATCCCACAGTACATTTGTGTAATGCCTGGCAAAGCCTGCTCCCAGCATCTCATTTGATCCTGAAAACAATCCTCAGAGGTAGGCAGGGCAGGGATTATTTTTTCCATTTTACAAGGGAAAACACTTGTAAACTGATTTGCCAGGAGTCCCACACCCAGGCTGTAGCAGGAATGAGACTTGAATCTAGGTCTTTGTACAACCTGCTCAGGGCTCTTTTGACTCTGCAAGAGACCGATCAAAAATATTCTCAGCCCCACCCAGTCTTCACAACCACCAGTTCAACCAGCAACTAGGAACTAGTAAAACAGAGCATCTGTGTATACTACCCCACATGCCTCAGCCCTGACTGGCAAGCTCTATGGGGGGAAATAATTCATTTCATCTCATCTCCCTGAACCAAAGACCAAAATTAATTCCATATGGATTTGAAAGAAATCAAGGAATTAGAAAAATCTAAATTGAACAGAATAACTTTCTGGGGGCAAGGAAACTAAATTTAGCATGATGTCTAAAGGAAAGGATTTTATAGATTTGACTACATTAAAATTGGTTTTACTGGGGGGAAAGGTGTACAGAGCCAACAATAATCTGAAGAAATGTTTGTAGCAGCCGGACGCTGATGGCTCCCTCCTATAATCCTAGCTACTGGGGGGGGGAAGGGGGGCTGAGATCTGAAGATTGCAGTTCAAAACCAACATAGGCAGGAAAGTCCGTGAGACTCTTACCTCCCCAATAAACCACCAGAAAACCACTCAAGTGGTAGAGTGGTAGCCTTGAGCTGAAGAGGTTAGGGACAGCACCCAGACCCAGAGTTCAAGGCCGACTACTGGGGGGAGGTGAGGGAGAAAAATGTTTGTAGCAAAATATGGGAGAAAAGGGTTAACTTCTAGTATGTACTTACAAAAAAAGAAGTTTAGTTGGCTAACAGACATTTAGTTTGTTAGAAATAATAGAAATGGCCGGGCGCTGGTGGCTCACGCCTGTAATCCTAGCTACTCAGGAGGCTGAGATCTGAGGATCTCGGTTCAAAGTCAGCCCGGGCAGGAAAGACCGTGAGACTCCTATCTCCAATAAACCACCAGAAAACCGGAAGTGGC